TTAGACTTTCAGACCGACATTCAAACCTTAGACTTTCAGACCGACATTCAAACCTTAGACTTTCAGACCGACATTCAAACCTTAGACTTTCAGACCGACATTCAAACCTTAGACTTTCAGACCGACATTCAAACCTTAGACTTTCAGACCGACCTTCAAACCTTTGACTTTCAGACCGACATTCAAACCTTAGACTTTCAGACCGACATTCAAACCTTAGACTTTCAGACCGACATTCAAACCTTAGACTTTCAGACCGACATTCAAACCTTAGACTTTCAGACCGACATTCAAACCTTAGACTTTCAGACCGACATTCAAACCTTAGACTTTCAGACCGACATTCAAACCTTAGACTTTCAGACCGACCTTCAAACCTTTGACTTTCAGACCGACATTCAAACCTTAGACTTTCAGACCGACATTCAAACCTTAGACTTTCAGACCGACATTCAAACCTTAGACTTTCAGACCGACATTCAAACCTTAGACTTTCAGACCGACATTCAAACCTTAGACTTTCAGACCGACCTTCAAACCTTAGACTTTCAGACCGACCTTCAAACCTTAGACTTTCAGACCGACATTCAAACCTTAGACTTTCAGACCGACATTCAAACCTTAGACTTTCAGACCGACATTCAAACCTTAGACTTTCAGACCGACATTCAAACCTTAGACTTTCAGACCGACATTCAAACCTTAGACTTTCAGACCGACATTCAAACCTTAGACTTTCAGACCGACATTCAAACCTTAGACTTTCAGACTGACATTCAAACCTTAGACTTTCAGACCGACATTCAAACCTTAGACTTTCAGACCGACATTCAAACCTTAGACTTTCAGACCGACATTCAAACCTTAGACTTTCAGACCGACATTCAAACCTTAGACTTTCAGACCGACATTCAAACCTTAGACTTTCAGACCGACATTCAAACCTTAGACTTTCAGACCGACCTTCAAACCTTAGACTTTCAGACCGACATTCAAACCTTAGACTTTCAGACCGACAAACCAGGAAATATGGCCACGACTTAACATAAAAAAAAAAAAAAAAGCAAGAACGACAAATCATCAGACTGATATTGGTACATTGGTACCCTTCGCTGATTGCTTACTTTAAAGACAAAGCATTTTGGGGGAATGTCCCGAGTGCGGGAATGTCAGTTCTTAATGTCCCAAGTGCGGGGATGTCAGTTCTTAATATCCCGAGTGAGTGGATGTCAGTTCCTAATATCCTGAGTGAGTGGGTGTCAGTTCCTAATATCCCGAGTGAGTGGATGTCAGTTCTTAATGTCCCAAGTGCGGGGATGTCAGTTCTTAATATCCCGAGTGAGTGGATGTCAGTTCCTAATATCCCGAGTGAGTGGATGTCAGTTCCTAATATCCCGAGTGAGTGGATGTCAGTTCTTAATATCCCGAGTGAGTGGATGTCAGTTCTTAATATCCCGAGTGAGTGGATGTCAGTTCTTAATATCCCGAGTGAGTGGATGTCAGTTCTTAATATCCCGAGTGAGTGGATGTCAGTTCTTAATATCCCGAATGAGTGGATGTCAGTTCCTAATGTCCCGATTGCTGTGATGTCATTTCCTAATGTCACAGGTATGCCAGTTCTTAATATCTCGAGTGAGTGGATTTCAGTTCCTAATGTCCGGATTGCTGTGATGTCATTTCCTAATGTCACAGGTATGCCAGTTCTTAATATCTCGAGTGAGTGGATTTCAGTTCCTAATGTCCGGATTGCTGTGATGTCATTTCCTAATGTCACATGTATGCCAGTTTTTAATGTCTCGAGTGAGTGGATTTCAGTTCCTAATGTCCGGATTGCTGTGATGTCATTTCCTAATGTCACATGTATGCCAGTTTTTAATGTCTCGAGTGAGTGGATTTCAGTTCCTAATGTCCGGATTGCTGTGATGTCATTTCCTAATGTCACATGTATGCCAGTTCTTAATGTCTCGAGTGCGGTGATGTCATTTCATATTATCTTAAGTGCGGTGATGTCATTTCATATTATCTTAAGTGCGGTGATGTCATTTCATATTATCTTAAGTGCGGGGATGTCATTTCATATTATCTTAAGTGCGGGGATGTCATTTCATATTATCTTAAGTGCGGTGATGTCATTTCATATTATCTTAAGTGCGGTGATGTCATTTCATATTATCTTAAGTGCGGGGATGCCAGTTCCCAATGTCCAGAGTGTATGGAGGTCAGTTTATAATGTCAAAAAGGCAAGGATGTCAGTTCCTAATGTCCAGAGTGCGGCAATGTAATTTCCTAATGTCCAGGGTATAGGAATGTCAGTTCAGAATGTCCAAAGTGCAAGGATGTCAGTTCTTAAAGCCCCGAGTGCGGTGATATCAGTTCTTAATGTCCTGAATGTGATGATGTCAGTTCCTAATGTTTTGAGTGCGGTGATATCAGTTCTTAATGTCCTAAGTGAGGTGATATCCGTTCTTAATGTCCTGAGTGCGGTGGTGTCAGTTCTTAATGTCCAAAGTGCGGTGATGTTTTTTTTTAAATGTCCCCAGGGAGTGGATGTCATTTCGTAATGTCTTGAGCTAGATGATGTCAGTTCTCAATGTCCCGATTGAGTGGATGTCAGTTCTCAATGTCCCGAGTGAGTTTATGTCAGTTGTTAATGTCCAAAGTGAGTGGATGTTAGTTCTTAATGTCCCGAGTGCTGTTATGTCAGTTCTTAATGTCCCATATCGGGGGATGCCAGTTCCTAATGTCCAGAGTGCAGTGATGTCATTTCCTAATGTCCAAAGTGCGGTGATGTCATTTCCTAATGTCCAGAGTGCAGTGATGTCATTTCCTAATGTCCAAAGTGCGGTGATGTCAGTTTTTAATGTCCAGAGTGTGGTGATGTCAGTTCTTTAAGTCCATAGTGGGTGGATGTCAGTTCGTAATGTCTCGAGTTCGGGGATGTCAGTTCCTAATGTCCCAAGTGAGTTTATGTCAGTTTTTAATGTCCTAAGTGAGTGGATGTCAGTTCCTAATGTCCCGAGTGAGTGGATGTCATTTGTTAATGTCCCGAGTGAGTTTATGTCAGTTGTTAATGTCTCAAGTGAGTGGATGTCAGTTCCTAATGTCCTGAGTGAGCGGATGTCAGTTGTTAATGTCCCGAGTGAGTTTATGTCAGTTGTTAATGTCCCAAGTGAGTGGATGTCAGTTCCCAATGTCTTGAGTGAGTGGATGTCAGTTCCTAATGTTCCGAGTGAGTGGATGTCAGTTGTTAATGTTCCGAGTGAGTGGATGTCAGTTGTTAATGTTCCGAGTGAGTGGATGTCAGTTCCAAATGTTCCGAGTGAGTGGATGTCAGTTCCAAATGTTCCGAGTGAGTGGATGTCAGTTCCTAATGTTCCGAGTGAGTGGATGTCAGTTGTTAATGTTCCGAGTTAGTGGATGTCAGTTCTTAATGTTCCGAGTGAATGGATGTCAGTTCCTAATGTCTCGAGAGAGTGGATGTCAGTTCCTAATGTCTCGAGTGAGTGGATGTCAGTTGTTAATGTTTCGAGTAAGTGGATGTCAGTTCCTTAATGTCCCGAGTGAGTGGATGTCAGTTCCTAATGTCTCGAGTGAGTGGATGTCAGTTGTTAATGTCCCGAGTGAGTGGATGTCAATTCCTAATGTCCCGAGTGAGTGGATGTCAGTTCCTAATATCTCGAGTGAGTGGATGTCAGTTGTTAATGTCCCGAGTGAGTGGATGTCAGTTCCTAATGTCTCGAGTGCGGGGATGGCAGTTCCTAATGTCCCGAGTGAGTAGATGTCAATTCCTAATGTCTCAGTGCTGTTATGTCAGTTCTTAATGTGCCATGTGCAGGGTTGTCATTTCTTACTGTCACAAGTATGCCATTTCTTAATGTCTCAAGTTTGGTGATGTCATTTCCTATTGTCCCAAGTGCAAGGATGTCGGTTCTTAATGTCCAGAGTGCATTGATGTCTGTTCATAATGTCCAAAGTGCAAGGATGTCAGTTCTTAATGTCCAGAGTGCGGTGATGTCAGTTCCTAATGTCCAGAGTGCGGTAATGTCAGTTCTTAATGTCCAGCGTGCGGAGATGTCAGTTCCTAATGTCTCGAGTGCGGTGATGTCAGTTCTTAATGTCTCGAGTGCGGTGATGTCAGTTCCTAATGTGCAGAGTGCTGTGATGTCATTTCTTAATGTCCAAAGTGCAAGGATGTCAATTCTTAATGTCCAGAGAGCGATGATGTCAGTTCTTAATGTCCAGAGTGCGGTGATGTCAGTTCCTAATGTCCAGAGTGCAGTGATGTCAGTTCCTAATGTCTAAAGTGCGGTGACGTCAGTTTTTAATGTCCAGAGTGCGGCGATGACAGTTCTTTATGTCCATAGTGGGTGGATGTCAGTTCGTAATGTCTCGAGTTCGATGATGTCAGTTCCTAATGTACCGAGTCAGTTTATGTCAGTTGTTAATGTCCCGAGTGAGTGGATGTCAGTTGTTAATGTACCGAGTGAGTGGATGTCAGTTGTTAATGTTCCGAGTGAGTGGATGTCAGTTCCTAATGTCCCGAGTGCGGTGATGTCAGTTGTTAATGTCCAGAGTACGGAGATTTCAGTTCTTAATGTCCAGAGTGCGGTGATGTCAGTTTTCAATGTCCAGAGTGCTGTGATGTCAGTTCTTAATGTCCAGAGTGCGGTGATGTCAGTTTTCAATGTCCAGAGTGCTGTGATGTCAGTTCTTAATGTCCAGAGTGCGGTGATGTCAGTTTTCAATGTCCAGAGTGCTGTGATGTCAGTTCCTAATGTCCAGAGTGCTGTGATGTCAGTTTTCAATGTCCAGAGTGCTGTGATGTCAGTTCTTAATGTCCTGGGTGCGGCGATGTCAGTTGTCAACTTGACCCCCCTACTACTCAGTTCGTCACAATATAAAGGAAATGGCCACTTTTTAGAGTCACGTAATATTGAAGAGGTTGATGAGTATAAACAGATAAATCAATAATGCTTCCCTTTCTTTTGGTATTTCTCTAGTGTGCCGGTCAGTCATATGCCCACCTTATGAAGAGACCCGATGTCCAGGCGACAGTGTCCGTCTTCCTTCTAAGTGGACGGAGAACCACTGTTGTGAACTGCAGCAGGAGTGAGTAAAATCATTATCATCGAGTGCCTTGCCGACTGGTGTTGTCAATCATGATTCATCTCATTCGGCGATTTCCAACAATTTTAGTTTGTTCGTATTCATGTATTAACAGTTGTTCATGTCATTGTCCAAGTAATCTGCCGTTGTTCTAACCCCCCCCCCCCCCCCTCCTTTTCCTTAAAAATGATTAAAAATAGTACCTCTTATATGAAGTTAATACAATGAAGATAGGATATATGTAAATATGTAAGTTGTACCCTACCAGGACATCACACAAGCGATTAACACCTGGTGACACAAATTGCCACCATGCGGATGAGGATCACCCGTGGAGAGAAACCCCGTTCAGCTGTTAGGCCATACCCGTCTATGTTTTAGGACCCCCGGCAGAAGCCAGGGTGGGGCTTCAAAATGACTAAAAATTGCTTCCATAATGCGTTCACAGACTATACTTCGAAAAATAGAACAGGTGTGTAACGCGTATAGTGGTTTGCAAAACTTAACTAGACATGTCAGGAGCATTCCATAGATTTTTGGGGTCCAGAATGTGCACGCGTACGGAGAAATGAACAGTCACTGACGGGCACTTATTTGAATGTCCCGAGCGCCATGATGTCAATTCTTAGCCCGCAACACCACTCACACGCGCACGTACGCGCGCGCACACACACACACACACACACACACACACACACACACACACACACACACATAGTTTCACTAGTCTACTGAAAAAGGCGATTGAATACATATGGAAATGGGGTAATGCCAGTTCTGGACTCATTTATATGTTTATTCTTTGAGGTATTCATCGTTTTCGTAAAGCCTTATCTTGGCTTCTGCCGGGAGCCCTGACTATAGCCGAGGCAAAAATATGGCCTAGCCATAGATATAGCCTAACGGCTGAAAAGGGTTTCCGGGATCTCTCCACGGGTGATACTCTTCCTCATGGTGACACTTTGTGTCACCGGGTGTTTATCGCTTGTGTAATGTCCTGGCGGGGCACAGTAAAAAAGAGGGAGAGAGTTTTCGTAAATGTGACATCGTGAGGAATAATAGATTGCAGTGGTTGGAGCATATGGAGAAAATGGCAGATGGAAAACAAAAACTACGTACATACAAGAGTTTAATGGGGGTAGACCACGATGCAGTCGGTAAGCAGATAATGTAAGTGGACACCTACAACCACACGTCAAAGATATATTTGGTGATTACCAAGCAAGTTTCCGACTGACCGACTGACTTTCTACCCCACTAGGACATCACACAAACGATAAATACCCGATGACACCAAGTGCCACTATGTGGATGAAGATCACCATGGAGAGGTCCCAGAAACCGCGTTCAGCCTTTAGGCCATATTTATGGCCAGGCTATATTGAGGCCCCTGGCAAATTTCATCCTAAAAAAGGACGGGAAGTACAACCCCTTGATATGTTTCTGACAGAACAGATCAGTAATAAATCAGACATTCATTTTACGCAGATAGCAGAGCAAAATTATGAATATAGAAGAGACGTACAAATTGTTTTTGTAGATTTTGAAAAGTTATATGATACTGTAGATAGAAACAGTCTATGGAATGCCATGAAGGGCTGGAATATCAAAGAAGTTAATAACCATGACCAAACTATGTATGGAAGACAATTATTGTAAGGATATTCTGTTAGCTATTTCCAATGCATTGTATATGTTGGTCTTCGTTTCCTTAAGTCTGTTCTTTGTTCCATCGTTCCATTTTCTGCGTGGTCTTTCACTTGATTTGTGTTCATTATATTTCTTTGGCGTCCCTGTTTGTGGCAATTGGTACCAGGGCATTCTCGTCAGCTTGTTAAACCACCCTATCTTTTGCTCTCTAGTAAACTGCATGACTGGTTTCAGGTTTTTCATCTTCTGATTTCTTTATTTGTAAATATATCTTCTTGTAACTTGAGCAGCATTGTGACATCTCATCTCTGAGGTCATGATGAAGTGAAGGTTCATGTTTGACATTGTAGCGTTACGCTGACCAAATCAAAATTTATTTTTTAAATGTGCCTTTGTAGACGAAGGTGTACTTCTGTGTTACGTCACATGTGTCCGAAGTTTTTTTTTTTAAATTGTGGGCAGACACCAAAGAAACTAACACGCTAGCATTTAACAGACGCAAGAAAACAAGTAATGAAGCTGAAACAGAGGCACCAAAGTCCCCCCCCCCCCCCCCCCTCTCTCTCTCTCTCTCTCTCTCTCTCTCTTTCTCTCTCTCTCTCTCTCTCTCTCTCTCTTTCTCCTCTCTCTCCCTCTCTCTCTCTCTATTTCTCTTTCTCGCTGTCTCTCTCTCTCTCTTTTTCTCTCTCTCTTTCTTTCTCTCTTTCACTCTCTCTTTCTCTCTCTTTCTCTCTCTCTCTCTCTTTCTCTCTCTCTTTCTCTCTCTCTTTCTCTCTTTCTCTCTCTCTTTCTCTCTTTTTCTCTCTTTCTCCTTCTCTCTCTCTTTCTATCTCTATCTCTCTCTATCTCTCTCTCTTTCTCTCTCTATCTCTATCTCTATTTCTCTCTCTCTCTCTCTTTCTCACTCTCTCTTTCGCTCCCCCTCCCTCTCCCACTTCCTCCCTCCCTCCCTGTCAGTGTCTGGATCTCACTGTGTGCGGAAACGTTCTAACCATGTGCCCTTTGTCGTCAGTTCCAGCAACAATACATAACTGAAACTAAAAGACAATCCGCAGTAAAACAGGATCATGCTGCACACACACTGGTGGCAGTGGATATTGTATACATTTAACAAGTTAGAAGTATCTTGCCTACACCGAAGAAATGGTATAAAAAAGCAGTTTTTTGTTTTGTTTTGTTGTTGTTGCAGAAATGCCTTGCTGAAACACACAATTTAAACAGTTAATAACAAGAAACTGGCAAAGAGCCCGTATAGTCCCAATTTGGAAAAGAAAAGGCAATAAGCAAGATTGTAACAATTACAGAGGCATCCCCCTTCTAAGTCACGTAGAAAAAATGTTTGCCAAAATTCTGGAACAACGAATTAGATACGTTGTAGAACCGATCCTGAGCCCATCACAGGTCGGATTTAGGAAAGGAAGAGGGTGTACTGACGCTATTTTTTCTTTAAGACAAGTTAGCGAAAATACAATAGAACACAGACATCAAATGAAAATCGCTTTCATAGATCAAGAAAAAGCTTTCGATAGAGTAAACATAAATTTATTATGGAAAGTTCTTGAAAACTACGGTATAAATGGAACAATTTTAGATTGTGTTAGAGCTATTTATAGACAAAGTGAAAGCGCCATTAGAACAAGAGCTGGCATCACAGACTGGTTCCCAGTAACATCAAGAGTAAGACAAGGTTGTGTATTATCACTTTTACTTTTCATAATATTTATGGACAATATTAATAAAATAGACATAACACCAACAGATGTCAATAAACAGGACTTCAATAAGCTGCTCTTTGCCGACGATCAATGCCTATTTCACAGTAATAGTAAACAGCTACAAGACCACATAAACCTACTACACGACAGTAGCCTCAAGCATCATATGAAGATCAATACTGAAAAGACAGAAGTCATGAGCATAAGTAGAGAGCAACAGACCATCGACATAAAGATTCTAGATCACAGCCTAAAACAAGTGCAAGAATTTAAATACTTGGGAAGTATCTTTACATGCAATGGTAAAATAGACAGAGAGATCGAAGCAAGAATCAAACAAGCCAACACTGTCGCATACCAGCTTGCCCAAATTTTAAAACACCCTGCTGTCCCAGCTGAGATAAAAAGACAAATTATAAATACAATCTTTATACCGACATTAGGTTATCAATGTCAGACTTGGACATTAACAAAATAACACGAGAGAAGACTAACCACCTGTGAAATGAGATGTTTGAGAATGGCTGCGAATAAAACCAGAAGAGATCGAGTGAGAAACGATGCGATTACAAGAACAATTGGAACCATACCCATCGTTAAATTTATTGAGAAGCAAAGAATGAAATGGTTTGGTCACCTAATGAGAATGGAACCAACAATGCCAGCATCAAGAGCATATAACATGAAAATCGAAACACCAAGACGCAGGGGTAGACCAAGAAGAATATGGATTGAAGGAGTCACGGACAACTTGAGACTGCATAACATCACGGCACATGAAGCGACTGAGCGCACCCTGGCTCGGTTGCCGATCATCTGATAGACTGCGACACCTAGCGGCACGAGCAGATTTTGACAAAAGAAGAAGAAGAATAACAAGAAACAATCAATAGTCGGCAGCAAAAGGCACAAATTTGTATGTCATGTACAGAATAGTTGTGATAGTCAACAACGTGTCAACAGTGAGAGAACTGATTGTATCACTGTCAGGGAGCCGCCACGGTGTAGCGGCTAAAAAATGACCCTGCCTTCCAGGTCGACCATGTAAAGCCCTTGGAAGTAAAGGCGGCCGTTGTGATGTCGACCGCATCACCTACCGGGTGCCGTTTGGTCTAAAAAATCTGTGTTTATCCCTATAGTATGCCTGAACGCGTGGACAAGGGTTCTTCAAATGATTTACCGTTGTCAGGGAAAGGGGCTTATCAACCCTGCCCAGAAACTAGGGCCGCTTCAGTCGCCACAAACTGTGCAGGTTAAGATGTGTATTTTTGCTTCCGAAGGAGAAAAAACCGTCATCTCTTACTACCGCTCAGCTAGCAGCCTATCCGACACGACGACAGCATCTCTTATTGTCAACAAAGTTCGCCGTTCAATAAATGAGCCGGTGTTTACATCTGGTTAAAGTGCACTGGTATCAACGCCCTCTCTATTCGCACACACACGCACTTAAACATCGATTGCTAGCTAAAAAAATAGTTCAGATAGAGTAATGAGTAATCTTTCATGATATGGGCAGAACAGCTGTACACACACGTACATACATTGACCAAGGAAAATACAAGTGACGTTTTCTAGTCGGATCTCTACAGCTGCTAGTGACACTTATTGATTTTGCAAGTACTGCTGCTGTTGCTGCTGCTGCTACTACTACTACTACTACTAACTACTATTACTGCTGCTACTACTACGACTGCTGCTATTAACATTCCTGGTTCTGCCGCTGCTACTACTATAACCACCACTTTTGCTGCTGTTTCTACGGATGCTACTAACACTTTTAGTTCTGCTGCTATGACTACTTATTACTACAACCAGTACTGTTGCTACTATGACTGCTGCTGCTTAATTCTACTGCAGCCGCGACTACTGTTTCTACCAACATCACCACTGCTGCTGCTTCTGCTGCTGCTGCTACTGCTACTACTGCTACTACTTACTACTACTACTACTACTACTACTACCACCACCACCAATACTACTACTACCACTGACATTGCTGCTGTATTGTGCTGATAATGCTATATCGGCTGCTACCACAACGACAACAAACAACAGCTACTACTACTGCTGCTAATACTAATACGACTACTGCTGGTGCTGTTGCTGGTGCTACTACTACTATTACTGCTGCTGCTCATAATACTAGTGCTGCTGCTACTACTACTGCTGCTGCTGCTCATAATACTGCTGCTGCTGCTAATACTGCTGCTACTACTACTACTGCTGCTTTTGCTACTGCTGCTACTACTACTACTACTACTACTACTACTACTACTACTACTACTACTACTACTACTACTACTACTACTACTACTACTACTACTACTACTACTACTACTACTACTACTACTACAACAACAACAACAACACAATTGACACCAGTGTTTATGTTTCAGTTGCGTATGTTCAGATGAAGACCAATGTGAGCCAGTGTTTTGTCCGCCAGGATTTCAAGTTCAGGTGACATCCCGTGCTACAGGGCGTCCAGGTTCTTGCTGTGATCGATTTCGCTGTGTGAATGGTAAGTGTACATACGTTTCAACTCTACACTTTCCTCCTCCACACCAAATTAAGCCACCGCACTTTCTTCCTCCACACCAAATTAAGCCACCGCACTTTCTTCCTCCACACCAAATTAAGCCACCGCACTTTCTTCCTCCACACCAAATTAAGCCACGGCACTTTCCTCCTCCACACCAAATTAAGCCACCGCACTTTCTTCCTCCACACCAAACTAAGCCACCGCACTTTCTTCCTCCACACCAAATTAAGCCACCGCACTTTCTTCCTCCACACCAAATTAAGCCACCGCACTTTCCTCCTCCACACCAAATTAAGCCACCGCACTTTCTTCCTCCACACCAAATTAGGCCACGGCACTTTCCTCCTCCACACCAAATTAAGCCACCGCACTTTCCTCCTCCACACCAAATTAAGCCACCGCACTTTCCTCCTCCACACCAAATTAAGCCACCGCACTTTCCTCCTCCACACCAAATTAAGCCACCGCACTTTCTTCCTCCACACCAAATTAGGCCACGGCACTTTCCTCCTCCACACCAAATTAGGCCACGGCACTTTCCTCCTCCACACCAAATTAAGCCACGGCACTTTCCTCCTCCACACCAAATTAAGCCACCGCACTTTCCTCCTCCACACCAAATTAAGCCACCGCACTTTCCTCCTCCACACCAAATTAAGCCACCGCACTTTCTTCCTCCACACCAAATTAAGCCACGGCACTTTCTTCCTCCACACCAAATTAAGCCGCGGACAAGTCTCCACACCGTCCTAATAATAGGCAAGATTAAAATTACTTACCGTAAGTACCGACATCACAATCTATATAAGAAATGCGCAGAGAAAACCAATAAAAGACCAGAGTCACCAATTAAGTACAAAGTACTTTGGTAGACTAGTGCCGGTAAACAGGTTCATAGAAACATCACAGAGTCAAATAGTTTGGTCATCTAGTCAGAATGGACCAAAACCAGCTAGCAGCTAGAGCGTTTATACGGTTTATGATTTATACAACGGATCAGTATCGTTGCACAAGAGTAGTAACCCATAAGTGCTCCGTTCCACTTCTAACTGAAGCCTAAGTCCGGAGAATCTCAGCGCAGTACACGAACTTTGTAGCACCGGCCAGGATCCTGAAAATTTTTGGTGGATTTTTAACGTCCCATTTTGTCCGGGCAGCGCCGTTAGGCTACTCTTTTCGATTTTCAACTGCCAATGAATTTTTTTACGCGCGTAACAATACACACGAGCGTCCTATCTTACTACCCAGAAACCAGGGAAAATTACTAGAAGTCCATGGGAAAAAAATCCCAGCCCTCACTAGGGCTTGAACCCGGGACCTCCAGCAATCGAAGATGACGCCATGTCTCGACCACTCAGCCCCTCAAAGCTAGAGCTGACTACATGAGAACAACAGACTACAGGGCAAGAGGCCGACCAGGAAAAGGATGGGGAATACAAAAAACGTCATAGGCAGTAGTAAAAAAAAAAAAAAGAAGAAGCAGATCATAATCTATAAATAAGATGCTCCCTCTGCAATGTTTTATCAAACAACGTCGTCCATATCTGGGACGCAATTGTTCGTTATTTTGAAGCCCCCACCCCGGCTTTTGCCGTGAGCCAGTTGCACGCGGTTTCTGTGACCTCTCACCGGGTGATCCTCATCCGCATGGTGGCACTTTGTGTCACCGGGTGTTTGTCTCTCTGTGTGATGTCCTGGTGGGGTCAAATCTACTACAACTAATACTGCAATGATGTAGGGGTTACTTCCATCGAAAGTAAACTGCAACTCTGGTGAGAGACTTTGTTCCGTCCGAGCGGACATGCTCTCAATGAGGCAGGACGAGGAGATGATTCGGGAGACGACCTGTAATCGTCAACACTCAAAAGACTACAAAAACTTGAGGTCAAAAGAGGTGTCGCCAAACGTGAACGAGATACAGGTAGCCAAAAAAGAATAGTAAACCACCACAGAACTGGTGTTATCAGTCGCCACAGGCTGGGGGATATACTGAAGATTGGTTCCGAGCGCTTAGAGACTTGTCCAATGTGCAGTGAGAATAATCTGTCGATAAACTAACCAACCACTGCGACTCTTGATCCACATCTTGGGTGTCAGTTGAACAAGTCAAATTACAGAAACCAAGTCACCCCGTATGAGTTCTTAGGCCTGATTAAGGCGTAGAACCACTTCCCCTATTACAAGTATGTCGTAAAAGGTAACTAATCGAATGCTGAAATGGGATGTGTTGCGTAGGAAGACTCACAAATCGCAGCTACCGCCTAGATATAAACCACACCACAACATGCACCAACTGTCTTTTTTTTACAGCGAACGCTGAAGAAGGAGAACCAAGTTCAGGCTCGAAAGAAGTTATATATTACCGGTGGTGACTACACTAAATACTACCATGCAATACCCTTGCATCCAAGGCAGGCAGGCACAAAGTAGTATTGCTATGTGACCTGGTTACCGAATTAATCACCAGTGTATGGAATCCTTCGAAGTAGAAGAACCTTAAAATAAACAGCATATGAGTCTGTGTTCTATATTGGAATTGACGCCGAGAACAGAAGAGACCCCCCCCCCCCCCCCCCCCCCCCCCCCCCCCCCAATCTCACGGAGATAAAATTGTATATGTTAAATTCTTGACATATATTACCTCAGAATTTCAATGGAATTGCCTCTACTTTTTATGTTTACGAACGTCATGCATCCGTACCTGAGATAAAAGCGCAACGATTGATTGCGGCATAATCTGGCCATGCTGTATAGGTAAACATATGTGGAATGTTGGGATCCCCTAATAATTTAACCAGCACGCCAGCAAGAAAGCGATGTTGTCTCAGATATCTATGTCATTGTGTAGCCCGCCCCCAACCCGCGGATTGTAGCTGGAAATATTGACACCCAGTGACCCGGAGAGCCACTATTCGGACTCGATTTTGGAAAATCTCCTTGTGCGGGTTCTGGGGCCCTGTTCGGGGGGAAAAGAAGAAGTCCACTTCCCCAAAACAAGCATGTCGTAGCAGATGATTAATTGGGAAAATGCTGACATCGGATATGTTGGGCCGAAAGATGCCTGGCTGTAAACCAGACACAACGTACCAGCCGCAGCTTTTAATAACGAATATTAATAATAATAATGAGAAGAAGAAGAAGAAGCAACATAAGAAGAAGCAACATAAGAAGAAGCAACAGAAGAAGAAGAAGAGGAAGAAGAAAAGAAGAGGAAGAAGAAGAGATAGAAGAAGAAGAAGAAGAAGAAGAAGAAGAAGAAGAAGAAGAAGAAGAAGAAGAAGAAGAAGAAGAAGAAGAAGAAGAAGAAAATAAGACAATGAAGAAAATGAAGAACAAGAAAGACGAAGAAGCAACAGAAGAAGATGCAACAGAAGAAGAAAAAGGAAAAAGAAGAAACTTTAACATAAGCAAATGTCGGAATCCTTGTTCAACTGTATAAAACAGTCATTTTGAGACAGCCTAAACCTAAACCTGCTGTTGGCTGTGTGCGGGTGACAGAAATGCTCAGAAAATCTGTGACTGACTTCTGGAACACGAAGATGCAGACAGCTGGGAGCCTCAGACATCAGGGGCATTATTTTCCTGCTGTTTTTAAACACACTACTTATACCGCAAGTAATAACATATATGTGGCTAAAAGTGCTCTGTTTGCACTAAGCAGCACTTGATGTATTCCCCGTGTGGGTTTCGGGAGCACAGTGGAGGGAAGGGCAAAAAATGACCCCTGATCCTGGCTCGTTCACAAGCATGTTGTAGAACGGCAATTGATTACGATTTTGCTGTAATCTTATCTTTTGGGTTTCAAAACGCAGATAACGCACCCTAACTGTAAACCACACCGCAAGGTGTCAACAACCCAGAAGCATATATGGTTAAGCATGTTCTATTCCATCTGAGACACCTTTGTGTAGTGTTTTGAGTTCATGCCAATCGAGATACCGGTCACCTGTTCATCGCTCAGAAGAAGTAGCAGTGTTGCCCACCTGCCAGTTTAACTACTTGTGTTTTTAGTACGACTCTGGGGAGGACCTAGCCACATTAAAATAAGTACGATATAACTTACGAAAATATCTGGCATTTGTCTTTGAAGGAAAACGTCACATGTTAGAAGGTGTTTCTATGCTGCTTTTCTGACACAGTAGCTAAATTGTCTGCACTGAAAGTGTTAGCTGCCACACAACTGAATAATGTGTGTGCACATGCACATAGTTACTGTACACCAGGTCTAGACTTTTCTGCTGATTGTTGAGACCTTCCTATAAATTTAAAGTTTATTCAGTTTCCTAACAAATTCAAAAGTTTAGAGACATTTCTGGGTTAGTTTCTCACTTAGAGGCTCTATGTTCTCATCGATTCTGAATACAAATGATAAAGAAAACAGAATGGCAGAAAATTTTACCCATAGTCCCGAACACACGATTGTAGCTGCAATACTTTCAATGTAGCTTAGCCATAGTATGAGTATTGAACTGTCTGAAACAGTCCTTTGGATGCAAGTATGTGTGATTATCACATCCCTTGAAAATGAAATCGGTCCTCCTGGATTTTACTTCATCGGAACGAACTACAGACTGCTCAGCTGGTGTTAATTCAGTATCCGAATCCCTTTCCCCCCAAAATTTAAATTTTTCATTATCACAATTATAAAACAACTGACTAAAACAATTTCAGAGCTTCAGCCATAGAAGGGCGCATTTTTCGGCATATGCCTGTGTTCAAAACATGGCCATTTGAACACACACACACACGCACGCACGCACACGCACGCACGCACGCGCTCGCGCGCACACTCACACACACACACACACATTCTTTAACAAAATTCTGATCTATGACGTCATATTCGTTTAGGCTGGATCAACCCTAAAGCCGATAAGATCGTCATCATGCACCAATATGTGTGTCGAGCGAGAGAGAGAGAGAAAAGTGGTGGATCAATGCCTTCTCCGGTATCTGGAGAAAGCATTCGGTGGATCAAGTAATAATCAAGTGAAATAATATCAGCTGCTGTAAATATCAACAATCATGGATGCAGCGTGAATAATTCACACGCCTGTTGCTTTCCCACATCGATTCATTCATATCACTAGGAAGACTTTTTGATTACGGTTGTTAAATGGAAACTGAAACAAAGTCGGCAAGAACCACATACCAGGATTACGGGGAGGACATAACTTTCCCCAGCAGTTAGGTAAACAAATAAATTACCTGTAACAGCTCGTAGCGTCGTACATTCCGCTCAGTGATTCATAAGAAAGTAGCGCGTAGGTGGTAGGCGGATATTCACCAGCAATTTAAAACTGTTTACCTAATAAAATTTGGAATACACGTCTTCTTCTTGTAGGTCATGCGGGGTGACGTGGGTCAACGTGTCTGTTCATTGTTGTCAGCTACAACTGTTACAGCTACTACTATTACCACTTTCTCAGCTGCTACTATCACTACCACAGCGGCTACCACCACAACTACTACTATCACTAATACTACTGCTGCTGCTGGTACTAGCTACTACTACTACCACCAGCACCACTAACTACTACTGCTAGCTACTACTACTACTAAAACCAGCACCACTACTACCACCACCACCATTACTACTACTGCTGCTACTACTAGCTACTACTGCTGTTACTGCTACTACTACTACTGCTATTGATGTTACTACTACTATTACTATCACCACCATCACTACTACTACAATCACTACCACCACTAATATCACCACCGAAGACTACTATTGGTACCACTGTGACGATTATTTTACCACAACCATCACAGCCGTTACTGTTACACAGCCGTCACTGTTATCACAGTCAAGACGACTCCTACTTCCATTGCTGTACGCACTACTACTGCTATCACCACCACCACCACCAGTCATAGCTACCGCTGCCACAGTCACAGCTGCTACTGCTTGTATCACTACCACAGCTAGCACTGCCAACTACTTCTTTTACTACCATTGCCACTGCTACCATAGCTGCTACAATTTTAATTTTAACTTCCACACGCACCACACACACACACACACACCACACACACATACCACACACACATACCACACACACAAATCCCGCGGTGACCTACTGGTCCCAGCATCTGCCATCTTCAGCATTCGTGGGTCAGTGTCTACTAGTGTCAGGGGTGACATTTCGCCAGCTCTACGGCTCTAGGACCCGACCTGTCCTCGTGAATCGGTCACTAGAGATACGTGACATTAACGCATGTATTGCTCAACTACTTCCGCTGGGTTAATAGGTCTGATACTGTCCCCAAAAACTCTTGTCTTTCAGACTTGTGTTCTCATCACTTTGCTTTATGGCAGTGAAACGTGATCAACTTATTCGCATCAGGAGAGACGGCTAAATAGCCTTCACATGCGATTATCATCATCATCAGGTGCCTTGCCGACTGGCGTGGGCGATCATGCCTTTCCATAATCTGCGATCTCCTGCAGCATGTATCAGTTCATGTGCTGACACACCTCCATGCCATGCAACAAGACTGTCAAGCATCGTCTCTCGTTGTGTTCCTCTATCCCTCCTTCCAAAGATCTTTCCAGTGGTCACAACATATTCTGTTTTCCCTCTTCTCATAACATGGCCGAAAAATGATGTCTTCCTTCTGATGTCTGTGATAAGTTGTCTTCGGGCTCCCGCCTCTGTCAAAACCTCTTGGTTGCTTTTTTTCGCGGTCCAAGGTATTCTGAGCATTCATCTGTAAAAGCACATCTCTGAGGCCTCTAAAAATTGTTTGGCCTGCCTACCGATTGTCCAGGATTCACAGCCATATGTTAAAACTGGATGTATGTAGCAAGCAAGAATTCTTTTTCTAACTCTAACACATGCGATGCCTTAAAAGAATACTTAGCATTAAGCGGCAGGGCAAGATCACAAACACTGAGGTATTACTAAAACAGTCTTCTCAGTGCCCAGGTGGCTGGTTCATACCTGGAGAATGGAGGATGGCATGGTCCCCAACGATATCCTTTATGGTAAACTAAATTTGGGTAGAAGATGTCGAGGCCGACCTCTTCTACTATATACAGATGTGTGCAAGCGGGACAAGAATAATTCAAGCATTGCGATGGACTCGTGGAAACAAAATGCCATAGACCGTGTTGTGTGTGTGTGTGTGTGGGGGGTGGGGAGCAACAATAAGAAGGATATGATAGTGTAGGAAGAAATGATTGCAGAAAGGATGAGACCTGAGCATCTGAGAAGAAACAGACTAAACACAAATGTTGACAACAATGGTCATGAAATCCCATGCTTCAGTTGTGGAAGACTTTTCTTAACGCGAGCGGGTCTCTCTTGTCACACTCGCCATAGCCATTGGCTGCTAGTCCCATGATTCCTCATAGCGCAATATAACACTCTCTTCTGAAAAGTCGGAAATGTGCCACTGTAGCCAAAACATATGACATGTAACAGGGTTACTTGATATTTTAGTCGAAAAAAAAACTCCTCCCCCTTGAAAGTCTATCATGTCCGAATCGTCTGCCTGTGTCCCTCTGCCATTTTGCCAACAAAGTCCAACATGTGTCCGATAAACCAACCGTAAGCTTGCCACTTAGTCGTTTAGATACGCTGACTGCTCTAATATGTTACCGCAGCGACTATTAATAAACTTCGAATTTCCCACTACCTGTTGCATAGTTACCAATTGTGTCTTGTCCCTGTCCGAGAACATCCGGTAAATACATGCAGCAGGAGCAGATCAAGCCTGAGCTTCATGAACTCAGGTGGGCCCACCCTCTGAAATTGTCTAGGAGCTCGTGGATTATTTGTGGACGAGGGATTACTTCTACTGATGATGATTGGTAGACTCCTGCCGGACTTGCTCCCCTGTGGAGTTTCTTCTTATCCTAATAATCTCAGGACCCTTTTCCACGCCTTTAGGCGTATAGGGCATATAGGGCAAGACCTATATTTTTTAGAATAATCGGTACAAGATGGGTGATGTGGTCAGCATGTGGCCGGCCGCCTTTACTTCCAGGGACTGCACCCGGTACCCACTCAAGACTGGGTCGACCTGGGAGCCAAGGTCATTTTTGAAAAAAGTCCGGCTCCGACAGGGAGCGAACCCACGACCTTCCGATTCGCGGCGAGCGTCTAGCCGCTCGGCCACGGCGACTTTACTAATTACTGACACTTCTTTATCACACAAACAGACTCATACATGACTATCTTGCTCAGCCTTCTTCGGGAGTGATGAATATAGCTAAAGTGGTGTTCTTTGAGTTGTGTATTCTGCTTCAACTTCCTTGATTGTGAAGACATCGGTACATTGTCTCTGCGTTAGTTAAAAAAAATGTTGTCAACACCGTGCTATCATATACACTTTTGGATATTTCTCGAAAATAGACGTATAAAATCATACATGAGATGAGATGTATACGAAATCTGCTGGTAAAACGAGAGATAAAATTAAGTAAAGCGGGAAATTCGTGGGAACAGCCGAAGATTTTGTCGAACTTCAGAGATAAACGAATTTTGACATTTATTAATTATTAATTAATTGCAGCCAGTGTGAGCATATTACATGTCTCCCTGGGCGATCCGCTTTAAATGTGTGCCAAATAAAACTCTGGAAAGTAAAGGCAGCCGGCGTGATGATTACACCACCCACCAAATACCATATGATCTATAAATTGTAGGTCTAACACATTATGCCCAATACGTCTGGTGCGAAAAGGGGTCCCTTAATTTTTACTTGACAATAAATGAAGTTAATTTAGGAGTGCTGGTCGGCTGAGTTAAGCACCAGCAAGGAGATACAAATTAGAATTTTGAGAGCATGCATCTTCCCTGTGGCTACATACGGATGTGAGTCGTGGACTATCTCTCAGTCCTTAAGAAAGAGAATAGGGGCTTTTGAGCTGAAATACTATAGAAAGATTCTCAGAATATATTGGACAAAGAAGATGAGAAATATTGACATCTTAAAAGATCTGAACATTAAGGAAGATTGGCTTATAAACAGCATCCTTTCTCGAAAGCTGAAATATTTTGGTCATATCAAGCGCTACGGAATGGAAAAAAATTAGCAGAAGGCATGTTACCAGGAAGGAGGGGCAGAGGCCGACCGTCACGAAGATGGGCACAGGATATAAGTTACTCCTTTAATGTGAAAGCTCATGAGGCGGGAGAACTGGCAAGAGACCGAGTTTCTTACAGGCAGACTGTGATGAGAGCGACGTTCTGCAAAGGACCTGCTACATGATGACGATGGTCGGCTGAGTAGTTAGAGGTGAGCTCTTATTGGAGACCCGACTGTCGCAAACAGAGGGATATTGTCTCTGTTTGCGACAAACCGCAGTCTGCACAGTTCAGGCCCGCTCTACTAGGAATGCGGCCTTAAACCCTCATGCTCACGACCCCCGAGAGCCGCCATGGTTTACCAATAGAACCTCGCATGCGGATCCAATGGTCGTGAGTTCGAATCCGAACATGTGCCGTAATTTTTTATTCTTCGGAAATTACCTTGGCTCCTGGCTCGACTCTGCCTTGAATGGGTACCAGATGGGGTCTTTGGAAGTAAATGCGAACGGCGCGACGTTGACCGCATCACCCACGGAATGCCGGTTGGTCTGTACAAATATAGGTCTAGCTTTGTATACTCATTGCGCACAAATGCGGCGTGGAAAAGGGTACTTTACTTTATGTCTATCTACCTTTAGGCACAAACAGTAGAACAAAGAAAGATCCTTGGTCGAGTACACTTTTCACACCTTATTGTTTTTATTCCTATTGAAATGTTTTCAGAAACCGGGCTAACTTGCACATACAATGGAAAGGAGCTGAAGAATGGGGAGACGTGGCAGATCGATAAATGCAAGGCATGCGAATGTCGCGAAGGACTCAACAGATGCAGGGACAAGAGCTGCAAGAATTTGTCCTGTACTTGGATGGTCATTCCCGAAGGGGAGTGTTGTCCTGTATGCAGAGGTCAGTGAAAAATGACATTTTATCTGACATGTTTCCTGACGTGTTTCCTGACGTGTTATCTGACATGTTATCTGACATGTTATCTGACATGTTATCTGACGTGTTTCCTGAAGTGTTATCTGACATGTTTCCTGACGTGTTATCTGACATGTTATCTGACATGTTATCTGACATGTTATCTGACATGTTTCCTGAAGTGTTATCTGACATGTTTCCTGACGTGTTATCTGACATGTTATATGACATGTTTCCTGACGTGTTATCTGACATGTTATCTGACATGTTTCCTGACGTGTTATCTGACATGTTATCTGACATGTTTCCTGACGTGTTATCTGACATGTTATCTGACATGTTATCTGACATGTTATCTGACATGTTATCTGAAGTGTTATCTGACATGTTTCCTGACGTGTTATCTGACATGTTATCTGACATGTTATCTGACATGTTTCCTGACGTGTTATCTGACATGTTATCTGACATGTTATCTGACATGTTATCTGAAATGTTTCCTGACGTGTTATCTGACATGTTATCTGAAGTGTTATCTGACATGTTATCTGACATGTTATCTGAAGTGTTATCTGACATGTTTCCTGACGTGTTATCTGACATGTTTCCTGACGTGTTATCTGACATGTTATCTGACATGTTATCTGACATGTTTCCTGACGTGTTATCTGACATGTTATCTGACATGTTATCTGACATGTTATCTGACATGTTTCCTGACGTGTTATCTGACATGTTATCTGACATGTTATCTGACATGTTTCCTGACGTGTTATCTGACATGTCATAAACCAACAACTCCCATCTCTGTATGGACCACCACTATCATGTAGTAGGTTCTTTGCAGAACGTCCCTCTCATCGCCAGCTCTCCCGCCTCGTGTACTTTCAAATTTAAAGACTTATATCATATGCCCATCTTCGTGTTGATCGGCCCCTGACCCTCCTTCCTGGTAACATACCTTCTTCTATTTTTTTGTTTCTATTCCGTCGTGGCACTTGATATGACTAAATAGTTCAGCTTCCGAGGCACGATGCTGTTTATTAGCTAATCTTTCTTGATATTCAGATCTTTTAAAATGTCAGTATGTTTTCTCTTCTTTGTCCATGGTATTCTGAGAATCTTTCTATAGCATTTCAGTTGAAAAGTCCCTATTTTCGTCCCTAAGGACTGGGATGGACCACCATGTCAGAATCAAACTAGGCTGTCCGTGTATGCTAATTTATAGGAAATACTTAAATAGCCACAGTTTGCTGACAACACCATACATGCACAGAACTCTGCAGTTCCAGTAACAACCCCAAGAGATCTTAAGATATCAGCTCTCAGGAACTGACAGATTGAGTTCCTGTGTCAGAAACCAAGTTTCACAATCTACAGAGCATGAGACGAATGGCTTAATTACTTTGTCATAGATACCCCTCAAAAAGTGAGTAATATTGCCTTTTTTTAAAAAAGCCATATTGATATTCTCCATTTTGGTAATCTTTTTTTCATAGCCATATGGATATTCTCCATTTTGGTAATCTTTTTTCTTAGCGATATGGGTAATCTCTCTTCTTACCCATATTAATCTGTTTTTCTTAGTCATGCTGATACAATCTTTTCTTGTTGATGTTGATAATCTCTTCTCTTAGTCACACTGATTATTTATCATCTATGTTCCTAGTGACATTGAAAATCTATATCTTTAGTCTTACTTATAATCTCTGTTCTCAATCATATGGATGTTCTCACGTTGCAGGCTGCGTCTCTGACTCCGGTGACCTGTACAACGAGTCTGCTGTGTGGAAAGAAAACGACTGCACAACTTGCACATGTAAGGGAGGCCATCCCCAGTGCCAGGCGGAGATGTGCGCGGTCCACTGTGCTAACCCACAAAATGTCCCAGGCCAATGTTGTCCTGTTTGTTCAGGTGAGTTGCAGCCAACCAGGCCCTCAGCTTTCTTTAATAAATATGCAGTACAAGGAGCAGGGACATTTGTCTTCTGTGTGTTACAGGAGACTATAAGGGACACTAACCTAAATGTGTGTGTGTGTGGGTTTGGGAGGGGGGGGGGGAGTACGGCGGGAGCAGGGAATAATGAGATTTTGCCTAACCTTAGAAAGTTTAGTTGCAAAATGAAACCATTCATGAGCCTGTCAGTAGAATTAATAGGAAAACTAAGATAGCCACAAAGAGAAAAATGAGTAGAGTTGAGTGAAGAATTGACGTCACAGCACTCGGGGCATTTCCATGGGTGCTCCTTCCTCATCTTCAGCAGCCAGCGCAGAGTTGCAATTCTTATGGTACTGGTCAAAATCTGATTATATGTCCATCTTGCCTTTCCTCTGAGTGTAGTGAGCCAGCCAGCCAGACCCTCTGCTAACACCCAGGTGCCTCATTCTTGCCATAATAATCTTTCTTCTCTAGTAACTGCATTGTTTGTTGCCAAAAGGGCTTTGACCACACCTGCCTTGTCATGTATCAATTCACTACCCAGTGGTGCAGATCCAGCCATTCTGTCTGCCTGTTCATTACCCACTACGCCAGCATTGCCTGGAGAAAAGATCCAAAGTATGCTCACTACCCATGACCTTCAACGTAAAGCTTGCCACTCTGCTTGAAGCATCCCTGTAATGACAAATGAGTAAAGACAAAAAATATAAACTAATTAAAAATCATTCATAATACATGAGTCAGAATGCTGTGGAAGGTCATGATTGCCAATTCCTGATGGTCTTGACTATCAGAAGAGATGAGTAAAATGTGAAAAATACAAGAAATTAACTTTTGTTAGTTCAACATACGTGTTTTATACACTTATTCTTCTTTAGCAGCCAATGAAGAGTTCACATGCTGATGGCTGCAGTGGCAACCTCAGTAAAAGTCTGTCCATCTTTCCATGAGACACAACAAGAACTAGTAGATGGCATATGGTAGAAGTGGCAAGAGGAGGTGGAGATTGTATGCATTGCTAGGTTAAAGGCCAGAGGAGAAGAGCAGCTGAGGAGGGTGGCAGAAATGAGAAGGAAAAAGAAAAAGGTTTAATTCTTGTCTCTGTGTACAAGCTTTATGTGACGCTCATCAGACTGGAGAAGGCTCTTTAGTACCCCCTAAAATTAGCCAGTAGTTTACTTTGTATTGGCTAATAAACAGCATCCTGTCTCGAAAGCTGAAATATTTTGGTCATATCAAGCGCCGCGACGGATTGAAAAAAATTATAGCAGAAGGCATGGTACCAGGATGGAGGGGCAGGGGCCGACCGACACGAAGATGGGCACAGGATATAAGTGACTACTTGAGTTTGAAAGTGCATAAGGCGGGAGAGCTGGCGAGAGACAGAGTTTCTTTCAGGCAGACTGTGATAAAAGCGACGTTCTGCAAAGGACCTGCTACATGATGATGATGAGTTTACTTTGTAGCCATCAGTGTCCTGAGGTAATTGTGTTTTGTAGTTGACTGGAATATCTGGGATTTGGACCTGTTGGATTCCTACTAAAATAATGACTCTAAGCCTGTGAGAGTCAATCTTTCAAAGTGTAATCCTAGAGGAAATTATTTTAAAAATTAAATCCAAAATTTGAAGGGAGAGAAGTGTATCTGACCTGTGTATTCTTTTTTAGAAAACAACCTTATGATTCCTAATTGTAAAAAAAAAAAAAAATATGTTAAAAGAAAAAGGCATTCCTTTTGGGAGATAATCCTACAGAAGAGCTAAGTTATAGACTCATTTACACTAGATCATACTGTTATGATGAGTGGTGACCCCCCCCCCCCCCCCCCCGCTCCCCTTCCCCAATGCCCCCACCTCCATTTTTAACTTTTTGTTTAGTATTAAAAAACTTTATTTGTACCACACCTTGTAATGTCATGAGGGTATGTAATCGGCAGTCTTAGTTCCTTAACAACAGCAACAAAAAGTAGTCATGATATGCAGTCAGAACAATCTGTTTCAATTAATAGTGATATGCACTGTTTCTCAATGCAGATGAACAGCCTGCCACTGTGCCCAGTCTGTGTCACAGTCCGGAAAGCTGCAGCCTCTCCTGTAAACATGGACTGGAACAAAGCATTGATGGGTGTTTTCTGTGCAAGTGCAAAGAAGGTTGGTATTATTATTATTATTGTGGTATATGAACTGTTTTTAATTCCTTTATTGTTTAAATTTATCACCTCAACATGAAGCGGGCCTGTGGTTTAAGTGTCTTTGGCTTTGGTATTGCGAATGCACTTGGTAATGCTGAGATGGCAGGTTAGATCCCAGCTATGGATGATTTGTCTTGGATTTTGACCAACGGTTCTCAATCTGTGGGTTTCCTCGTGTGGGTTCCAGGGCCCTATTGTAGGGAAAAACAAGAATAGACCCAATGCCTGCCCAAAAGCATGTCGTAAGAGTCGACTTATTAGGATCTTCCTTCGAAGTCGGAGTACATCTGCCCGAGAGGCAAGGAACCAACAGTCTGCATGCAACTGAGTCAGACCAGTAAAAACAAAAACAAGTAGTTTTTATGTGAACAGTCAATGCACAGTTAGAGCAAATACAGGAATGTCAGAAAAGTTCTACATTAGATCTTGAATGAGACAGGGGTGCATTCTGTCACGATTATTGTTCATCACATATGTGGACCAAATTTGCAAATCAACTAACACCAGCAAAGGGGACAACATCAGAAGATTACTAAATGAATTGTTTTTTGCCAATGACCAGGCAATCTAAGCACCAACAGCAGTAGATCTACAAGAAAATATTAGACTCCACTCAGATTGCGACAACTATGATATGAAGATCAACGTAGACAAAACAGAAGTGATGACATTCTCCAGAAAAGGAAGAACCATCTAAATTAAAATTGATGAACACCATTTAAAGCAAGCAAAACATTTTACATATCTGGGGAGCATTTTCTTTTTTTCAGAAGCAGAAGAATTATTAAGGTGTAAATTATATGCAAATATGCAATAAAGTCAGTCATATGAACACTAAAATAACACTGTTCAACACATTACTCTTACTAGTGCTATGCTATCAGTGTCAAACATGAACACTGTCTTCAGAAGACAGTAAGAAAATAGTAACAACAGAGATGAAATGCTTACGTACTATTCTAGGTGTAACGAGAAAAGATTGACTCTGGAATGATGTTATCAGGAGGTGAGTTGGCACAGAACCAATACTGAACTTTTTATAGGTGGACAACAAATCAAATGGTTTGGCCATGTAACAAGATTGGCAACAGACAGGGCACCACTGAGAGCAATGTTATATAGATACAGCGGTAACATACCCAGAGGTTGACCATGCAGAAGATGGACTGCAGAAATATCAGAGACACAAAAGTACTTTATACAAAATGAAAAAAATTATCAATTCCAGAGATCTCTTTCTGGCTGGATGCCGCAAGGCACTCGTGGGTAGAGAACAGAAAAAGAAGAAGAAAACATTTTACTGTTGTAAATTTGAACAATGAAGTGACATACAACAGATTGCATCTACGTTAAACAATGCTTGTTCATTTTTTTGTTGACAAAAGAAATGATTGCGAACTTCTGGTAAAACATGTCAATACATTTGAGTGCAGATGATATTTCTATTTCAATTTAAAGAATTCATTTATTTGCCTCATCTAATTTAATTATGTTATTCTAGTGCACATCCAAAGAGATACAGAAAAATGTGCCAAACAATAAATTGTGCAATCTGTTTGTGTCTTCTTTGTTCAAATTAGTCTGAAATCAGCTATTGGCAATTTGAAATGTTTGTTTTGATTTTCTGCCTCTTGGATTCCACTTAAAAGATTCA